GGCATGAATCTTGAGGCAAAATCATATTGGAAACTCCCAAAATTAAAAGTGAGACCAACCGAACTCCGAATTCAACAAACTTATAGTCAAACTGAACATCTCGAAAATACGAACCCAATGACACCAAATTCAAGTCAATCAGAGTCCGAATGGGTCCAAATCAAGGACCCAAAGCGTTGATGGACCACAATTTGGATTACCAAACGGTTTCCAAACGTGACATGCTTATAGTCGAATTGAGTGGCTTGACAAGACGAATCCAACGAGCCCAAAATCGTGAAATTATGATATCACTAAGACATTCAAATGCCCAATAAATGGTCTATGATCAAGGGATTTAACATCAGCCGTCCATCCAAACCACTCTCAAAATACCCTTGATCTTCCATATATTTACAAGCCATGCCACTAGAAAATCTATAAATAGAACCCTCCTATTTCATGAAAAGGGACCCCCTAAGAAAGGATCAAGAGAGAGATCGGAGATCGCTCTTGCCTCGAGTCACTCCTAGACCACCGCACGGACTTCCGCCGAACCACCACTTGACACAGGAGCTATGCCGGACCAGCACCTGACGCCGGAGTTTTGCCGGACCATCGCCTAACGTCGGAGTTCTGCAAGACCACCACCTGAAGCAGGATTTCCATAGGACCACCGCCTGACGCTAGACTTCCATCAGGACCACCCCCTGATGCCGAAAATCCACCGGATCACCTGACGCTGGATTTTCGCCAGACCACCGCCTGACGCCGGACTTTCGTCAGGACCTTTGCCTGATGCCGAATTTCCACTGGACCACCTGACGCTGGACTTCTGTTAGAACCACCGCCTGATGCCGAACTTCCGCCGGACCACCTGATGCCGGAGTTCCGCCGGACCACCGTCTCCTGCTGACTATGATCCTTCCGACCTCCGTCACCTACTATGGTCCTTCCGACCTTTATCGCCAGAAAACGGTCTTTCCGACCCTTATCTCTTGTCGACTACGGTCCTTCCGACCTCCATTTCCTACTATGGTCCTTCCGACCTCAATCAACAGACAACGGTCTTTATGACCACTATTTCCCACCAACTACAGTCCTTCCGACCTCCCTCTCCTGACAAAGGTCTTTCTGACCATTGTATCCCGCCGACTATAGTCCTTCCAACCTCCCTCGCCAGACAACGGTCCATCCGACCACCATCACCAAACTACGATCTTTCCGACCTCCGTTGCCCGCCGACTAAACGAACATTTCAATACTAATTCTTCTAATTCCCACCATGTAATATAATGTACATTTGCTACATTAACCCAAGGCCTTCCCCCCAAGAAAATGCCTCATTTGTAATTGACTACAAATAATAGTTGATTCATTCAAACTAGGCCAATCCTCGTGGTTTTTCCCCCTTTTTAGGGGTTTCCATGTAAAAACTCTAGTGTTTCTTATGAATGCTACTCTCTCTTTTATCTGCTTGTGTGCTAGATCTTCGTACAAAGCTAAGCCATTAAATTTTATATTTCTCTACCATCACGAATATTCCAGGACGCAACAATCTTAATCTAGAAGGATCACAGAAATATGCATGTAGTCAGAAACGAGAATCCTAGTTTTAATTATCATAAGTCACATTTCCATCAACCATGAGATTCAATCAATCCATCCACACACACACACACACACACACACACATACTAATGTTTAGGTGTTAGATATGCATTTTCAACAGTTTTATGTGTTATGTATGTAAAAATCCATATATATATATATATATATATATAATGCCTCCAAAAATTATTCTTAATTATAGAAATAATAAACATATATTCACTAAAAGAAACCATAATGCACAAATCAAATTTAAGGTGTTGGGGTTTACCTAAATCAAATGGGTGAAGAAGAAAAAGGATGAGATATCATTGCTTCTCCCTCTTTTCTTCAAGCGACCTCCTCATCAATCGATTCGTTGGGTAGCCGAAGCCACCAATCGGTAAAGCTACAAAACCGTGAAGCTTGCGAGCATAGCCAATCCTCTCTCTTGTGCTTGATGCATTGCATTGCATCGGAGGTCTACACCAAAATCTACATCCTAGATTTCCACTCATTAGCTGGATTGCAACCTCTACCCTCTCTTTCTCACTGCAACCCTCTCTCTCAAGCTTGTGATGCCCTAAGTCAAAACTCAAGACTTAAAGGCAAGGTATTGCCTTAATAGGGTAGGAGACGACGTGAACCAGTTTGGTTCAAATAAAACACTGAAAAGCAAGCCTCATAGTTGGTCAAGAAACCAAATTCTGAAAGGAGAACTTACACAACAATAAATCAAATTTTATTCGACATTAACTTACTTTGTATGCCTTAGATACAACTCTACTTATATAATAGCTCATCATAGGAGCACTAGTACCCAAAAGAAAATATCCCAGAAAATAGAGCCACAAGAGTAGAAATAGATATGTAGCACGACAGGAACACCTTAGAAGTTCAACATAAAGTTGTGAATGATCAGATCTCGGTCCATATTAAGTCTTGCTCTAAAAAATATTGATTCGATCTCAATTCAAATATGCTTAACATAATTCAATTTCAACTCAATCCAAACTAATAATGTATTTAACTTAAATCAATTTTCAATTTCAACTCAATCCAAAAATTTGTTGCTCACCTAAAAACAAGCGGATATATATGCAATCACACATTCATTTTAAACACATCTTAACCTGGTTCAATTTGATATAGGCCCGTTCAATTATAGTTAAATGCAAATCAAACCTAGATGGCTAGATCATTACTCGGATCATTGATTTTGATTGGAACCAATAACTAATCCGATTTTCAAGCAATTCTCATTCTTCAAGTCAAATTCATAGCCCAGGCCCTGCAAGTCCAATGGGCCTCTATCCAGCTCCACAATTCCACGGATCTAGCTTAATAAATGCGTTTTCCTGGTCTATAATAACATAAAGAGTTCCACAAATCCACCAGAAAATGTTGTTTGGCCAATGAATAATCCAAATGAGAGAGATCATGAACCTTTAACAAATAAGATCCAACGTAATTCAATAACGAACAAACTACTGAGACCCATCAAGTACTTCAGCTCATCAAAGGCATGCTCATGAATATATATAAACAATGATTCAAATTTAAAGCATAAAAATCAAAACGCAAAACAATTGATGCAATATACATAATTAGTGTTTCTAAAGACAACTATAGACTTTGAGCTCCGCATCACATTTTGGTAGCAACTATAAGATAATGAAGGGAAATGCCATAGAACAGCTTACCGGTTGGGTTATCCAACTCCAAGGAGTAGCATCATTTCTTTTAAAGATCCAAAGTTGAATAAGATCAAAAAAGCATTATGCTAATATTATGTCTTTTCTATGAAAGGAAATGATTCTCATACTTGCCTGTGGAGCAGAAACAAGGAACTCTCAACTTTGGCAAGTTGCATGCTGGTGATTAAGTGTCGACATATGCCAAAATAAGTTATTCAAAGAGATAATTAGTCTATGACAGAATCTCATAAAACTTGGATGGATTAATTAAAGGTGAAGCCATCAAGAATCTCCACTTTGCATAAATGCTCAGATGCCAAGACAAATATTCTGAACCAATTTCATGGATTCCATATAGCGAAACATATCCCACCCAGAAGTTAAAATATTCACGCATGCAAGGGGGCCACTGGTCTCACTTCAAAATGGTAGGGCCCTTAAAGGTATTTTCTTAATCATTTCTCATCCTACTAAAACTTTTTTTTTTTTCATGTAGGTTTTATGCTTTGAATGATAAAACAGAAAAATGAAGAAAGGAGAAACAAGTGGCTCGCGGTATCTAGTCAATAAAACTATATTAAAAGTGATACAGAACAAGATAAGGATCTCGGAGCATAGCAAATTTGCATCAGGATCATGGCGCTCCTTCATAATACCGCTCATTCTATAATTTTCTCCGTTTCAGTCAGAGGATCCTGCGCTTTGCATCCATAACTCATTGAATACTGGGGAAAGAGATGGAATGCAAAATCACACTTATTAACACATGCAAGCACAGAAATAAAACGAACGCACAAATGAATTTATAAATAAAATTAAAGCATCATATTTTAAAGTTTTTACATATTTGAAATGAGTACAGCAAGATAATATTTAGCTAGAATGTACTCAAACCCTAGTTGATCCACTTCGGCTATTTCTTCTTCTTGATCTTACTGGTTAGAAAAAGAAAACAAGAGTATCTGCTAGATTTAGTTTACAGAAGAGGCAAGGGAATTGCATGCTTGTATCATATTCCATTCCTTCCTCAGGTATTCAATCAATTTACAAAATAATGTTCGCTTTTGTTTACAGCTCTTGTTATTATTCTGCTCCAGTATGCATTCAGACCAAACAAACTTCAACTTTGTTACAATTAACAAGATAATTTTAGTTTTTTCCAAGCTATTCTGTCATATTGCATAATCTAAACTCTACACTTTTTCGAATTTTAATAATTTTTTTAACAGCTAAAAAATAGGATTTTCCCTTTTTCTAATTTTAATAACATATATCATCCAGTTCCTCATTAGGGTTTCCTAAGAAATTTTCCAAAACATATTTTCAAGTCCATGGGAGAACTAAGTTTTCACGTGTAGTGCACGCAGAGTTCAGCACCAACATAGCTCAAGCAACCAGTAAGTATCATGTGAGGACACCTTTTAGGTCCTGAAAATTCTTACGGGAGCATACGGTTCCTTCTTCTCAAATAGGGACAAGACGTAAAAAGAAAAAGTTTTTTTTTTTAATGGATCAATTCCTCTACTTATAACAAGCAAAAGTTGTTCCATAAAGAACCTTTGTGCAGAATTCAAATGAATGTATCTGCATTAGAATTGACAATAATAGTTGCAGTATAGGGTTCGCAGATACCTAAAGCAATAAGGACAATCTCTTTTCTGAATGGTGAGAAAATTAGATAGAGACTGCTATTTTGTTGCTAAGATTCTAGATGCCATGAACCGTCTTATAAGGATTACATGATAAAAACCTAACCACCATGACAAGAGCTTGAGCCTTTCCAGAGCATTCAGATCTAAATATGTTGAGGTCCTAGCTTTTCAGGAGTAATTGTAAGCCAACCTAGAAGCAGAGGGACTATCATAAAGAGCAGCTTTTGCAGTATAATAGAAACAGAAAGATCGACATTGTGAGGTAGGAGACATCAATGATTTTATCCTATATTTTACATCTACGCCTTCTATAGCTAGCTAACCTGTACCGTAGAATTTTCATGAGCAGGGCATGTACCATCATCTGGACCACAACAATAGCAAACTCATTTCTTCTAGGAAATCCTTTCCTTTAGAAAGGAATTTGTTTCTGCAAACAGGAAATGGTCCAGGAGACGCGGGACTGACTCTCTCAACTGATGTCAAGCCTAGGCTAAAATGGACTCCCGAGCTCCATGAACGATTTGTAGAGGCAGTGAATCAGCTTGGTGGACCTGAAAGTGAGTACATGGCAGAGAAAATCAGATTCTCTATCAAAGTAAAATCTCATTTAGTTAACACAAGATTTCCATCTAACAGCGGCTACACCAAAAACAGTTTTGAGGCTTATGGGAATCCCAGGACTAACTTTGTATCACCTTAAAAGCCACCTTCAGGTAACTATTAGATTGGATCTGTCCTAATTGATCCAATACATTAAATTCATGCTTTGATTTTACAGAAGTACAGACTCAGTAAGAACCTACAAGCTCAAACAAATGGCGGGACTGAAAATTATGGTAATGATAGCTTGATAAAATAATGCTCATATCTAAAGCTAGTAATTCATGTTTGATTTCAGTAAAGAATTGTTTTCCAGTGGAAATTCCGACATCAGCATTGAACAGAACATCATCAGAAGGTAGTGGATCCTTTGTTCATAACATCAATGTTGGCCCCTTTAGCAAAAAGTAAGCACCGAAAGAAAGCGTACATTTAATCACCAACATGAATATGAAGAAGAGCTTTTCCTTTAACAACGTTTTTGAAATCTCAGAACGATGCAGATAAATCAAGCACTGCAGAAGCAAATGGAGGTGCAACGGAGGATAGACGATCAATTTGAGGTAATGATGGTATGTCATAGATTTAGCAAAATCAAACTTGAAAAACAAAGGCACTTAACGTTAGAAACTCTTTTAAAATACTTGGCTGAACTAGAATTAATTCCCAAATCAGCTCTTGATAAAATTGTTCCTGTGGAGAGATGTTGGACTCCATTCATTCGCAAGGCATGAATTTTGTACCACAAAAAAATCTTAACACAAACCTGTATTCATTAAAAAAAAAAAACCCCTTAAAAAGCTGCTTCTAATAAACCACAACAACAACAACAAAAAACTTCCTATTGAATAACAGCCAAGCATAAAGTGATGCAAACTTCCTTGATACAAATGACAAGCATATGTAAACACAAAAATTCTTAGGCAGGAATTTAATATGACCTTAAATGATCAAAGCCTATATTATAGCATACAATGAAATCATCTTCGTCAAAATGTTCTTTGGTGCATCTAACGGGCTATCTCAAAGAGAAGAGATTTTATCTATAATGCACCAACACTTCTCCCTAAAGAGGCGTGTAGTGTCTGACACATATCTTACACGACACACATCCGACACTTGTCGGACATGCCGAAAACGTGTCCGATTAAAAAATATTAAATATTAATTGGACACTCGTGTCCGACACGCGTGTCTTAAATATTTTATGAATTTTTTAAATATAATTTCTTGTATTTAAAATGTTTATTTATTTAAAATATTAATACTAAATTTCTTATATCCTATCCAAACTCAATATCCCATTCATTGAATATTCTCATTTTCATTTCTCTTTGGTGGGTTGCAACTTTGGTTTCACAACAATGCCTGAGGTCATCTCAATATCGATGTCTGACATCATTACAACATCAACATTTCAAAACCATCTTAATATCAAAGTCGGACACTATCTTGACATTGATGCAGAATGCTAGCAATTTCTACACCCACAACTTGACGGCTCATATTTTTTCCAACATATTCTTAACATTGACGACCAATGCCCTCTCAACATCGATAACATACGTCCTCTTGACATTGACGTCGGATACTTACTGCATAATATCAATGTCTGACTCTCAACAGTATTGTCGTCTCCTCTCTCGATGCTTGATAGATGACATCGATGCCCAACTCTCGACATCCTAATATTAATCATTTTAAACACAAACTCTAATTAAATAACTTGTTATTTCTAAATTTATTTTAATATTATACTTATTCAATTTTTATACACTATTTTTAAAATATAAAAATTATAATATCGCGTCCAAGCCGTGTCAGTGTCCTATATTTTAAATAAATTAAGTGTCTCGTGTCCGTGTCTGTGCATTATAGGGTTTAAAAAAACAATTGAGAGCTTTCACTCCGAACTGCAGGACAAAAATAATTTCAACATGTTAAGGTATCAGATGTTTCTAATACATGATCAATAAATGAAAAAAATGAAAGCAAATAATCATTACAACACCAAGCCTTTATATCATCATCATTGTGAATACGAAAGCTTTAATAGTATCATAAAAAATACATCATGGCCCTTCTTGGACTGAAAAAGGTTCTACCAGGAATTTATTTTGTTTCTTTCTTATTACATTCTAAATTATTCTAATATAGTTTCTAGACCAAAATATCTTTTCTATCAAAGTAGATGCAAAGGCACTTACAAAGACAGATAGAGGCTCAGGGTAGGTACTTGCAATCAGTGCTGGAAAAGGCTCAAGAGACACTTGGGAAGGAGAATTTGGGTTCAGCAGGCCTTGAAACTGCCAGAATTCAACCAAAGATTTTGAATGAATGTTTCACCAGTGCATTCCCAGGTTTGGAAGAAACTGATGGTTCACATAATCTGCAAGGAAATGCGGCCCAGATTACTTATTGCTCAATGGAAAGTTGCTTAACCACATCCGAAAGATCTAAAAAGGACCAACAAATGCATAATACAAATATGGTAATGGGAGCTTATCACGGCAATTTATCATTAGGAGCACAAGAAATGCAAGAAGGTGCTCGGCTGGCGCAGATTCAATCTGGATTGTGTGCTGATCTTACTAGCCACAGATTATTTTCTCAATCAAGGGAGAATGACTCAACACATTGCACTTTGCCAGTCTCGAGAAGCTCTAGTATCTTATCAATGAGCAAAAAAAATAAAAAAGACACAACAGAGGGAAGTAATATTTCTGAGGCGCATCGCAGGCAAAGAGATGAACATAATTCTTACCTTGAGCAAGCAGGTTATAAAGGAAATGAGATTCAGCAAATAAGTTTAAGGAACTCAACTTTGTTTGAGCTGCCATCTGCAACAACACAATTGGATTTAAATACCTGCGACAAATACAGTGCTTCTAAAAATTCCAATAAGTTTGATCTAAATGACTTCAGCTGAAGCTAATGAAAAGCGCGTCAACTCATTGTATCTATGGATAAGCAGCAGTGCATAATTTCGTAATATTAACAACTGTGAGATCTCTCTATCCCATTATCTCACTTGCCTTCAAATCTAGGACATTTGATTTTAATATCTCATTGTGCAAGTTCATTAAGACAGAGATCCACTGATGAGGGCATAAATGGTGTTTCAAAGCCAATCAAGCCGGTTAAATTAAGGGAATGTATACAAAATAGTTGGCATATCAAAGGGAACATGTTCCTGGCTGCCTTTAGCTTCTTACTAGTGTTGTAGCTATGTTGCATTGATACGGATACGGCGACACGGATACGACACGATACCGATATGGGACACGTCAATTCTTAAAAATACAGGATACGGGTACGGCGCGGACACGACATTATAATTTATAAATCATACATAAAAATTAAGAAAGCAATCAAAACATAATATTTGAAATTACAAAAAAAAAAAAGAGACAACAACATCATTTGTAGCCTTGTGGCTTATAATATCAAAATATAAGTAAGCATTTAATGTCTAGTACAACAACAAAAGCATAAACATAAATTATCTAGCACACGAAGTTTCAACTATTCAATAGAAGGAATGATATAATTATCTTCTTCATTGGTTTGTCTTTGAACTTCCATATCATCTTCAATAAAAATCATAGCTTCTAATTCATGCTCATCAAGTGAAAGATTAATAATTTTTAATATTTTCATATCATCAAGAGACTCAAATCCATCTCGGAAATGAGAGAATCTTGCTCGTAACCACGGAAGTAAATACGACACGTCTTTTTTTCGGATTTCTTTTTGTTTTTCAACGGACACGCGTATCGGATACGCGTGTCCTTTTGAAATTAAATAGTATTTTAATTGGATACGTCTTTGGCGTATCCGACACGTATCGGTGGAGTATTGGAGGCATATCCGTGTATCGGTGTATCGGATACAGCACGCCTTCATAAATAGGTGTATCAGTGCAACATAGTGTTGTAGTTGTCAGAATGACATCATTTGCTATAGGTCCCACACTGCACACTTATTCATGTCATCCTTAACAAGAAAGTGCAAAAAAGGGAGATTTTGTGATGCCTTGACCTAAAATAAGAAAGCACACATGCACACTGCACATTCACCCTGCAATCCCCATTTCAGTAGGCACACGCTTCTTGCATGGACAATAAAACAAGAAGCAGAAACAACAGAAACACAATATAAAGCCCACTCTGTGTATCTCTTGAGGAATAACCTTTTTCTTCAATAGTATTGTTTCTGGGATGACCTAATCTGCAGATGTAGCCGTTGACCTACAAGTTATATTAAGAATCGCATGCAGCTTCTTATTAGTACCGTATTGGCCATCATGATGTCAATTGGTATGGCCTGCACGCTGGATTCCAATTCATAGTCTTTACTATAAAAATGTAAAATACTGAGATTATGAAATGCCTTCAGTAAAAGATAAATTTATTAACAATCATACTCAAGGTACAACTAAACACATTGCTATATAAACTTCAATGAAGTACATAAACTGTTAATTTTTTTGTTCAGTGTATGGTTCTCAAAATTACAGTGCATCAACATTGATAATATCTGCTTCTTTTTTTCGTTTAATTATTTTGGCTAATAATGGTGGCTATACAGATGTCAGCTAATTTAGGTATCATTTGGATGCTTTTCAATTGCTTTGATTTTCAAAAATATTACATCCCAATTGGATTTGTGTGAGAAACAAGTTAAAGAATGCGCTATGTTGCATATGAACATCCTCCATGTCACCACAATCATGGAAACACAATTGGAGAGCACCTTGTCCATCTTTGTCAAGGTAGCTACTGTAGAAGAAGATTTGATCTTAGTCCAATTTTTTGATGGGCCATAGTTGATAGTTTCTTTATTGATTTGTTTTCTTTTTATTTTTTTAAATACCAGTTTTCTTCCTTTCCCAAGGGGTGACCAAAAGTAGCAATTTCCAGAGAAGAGAGAGTGATAGAGAGAAACTTATGATTTGTGCTCACCAAGAGGAATAGATATCAGGTTTTTCAACTTTCACAGTAAAAGAGAGTGAAAGAAGACGTTGCCTTCAGACTCATGAGGTGCATGGAAAAGAAAGAACGTAATATAAAGAAGGAGCAATCAAGAATAGGTAACTTTCAATAGACGAGAACGAGAAAGATATCCATAGAAGAAGCATAAAATTAAATACATTTAGCAGCAAAATTAAATCCTAAAAATAATCTTAAAGGCTAGAATAATCTATAATTAATGTTGGAAAAATTACATGCATGTCTTGTATTACATCCACCATGGGATAAATATGATGCTTCTTTGAAGAAACATGCAAAGGCCTTTTCATGGAAGTTTCGGTTCTATGGTGGATGCGACCAGGGATCTAGTTCATAACATTTATTTTATTATTAGCTGATGCCGGTTGAAAATACTAAGTAAATCTTGTAGGCTTCGGTTTCAAGCATTGTTAGCATTATACATTTTTATTTGATCAGTACTATGTGGGCTCCGAAAATTCGACCCCGGCCTCCCCGCCGCGCTGATTGTTTGCTTTATGTTTTTCTTTAACGAGGGAGTTTTAACACATTAAGTTCCAGGGTAAATTTTGGAAGGCTGATGGGTTTGTAGATAAGACACTACCCAGAGATTTCGCCCTCATTTTGCGAGGACTTTATTATCTGAGTTCTGATTTTTTATAGGCGCAAGCCCCTATAGTTAATTACCCCTCCCGATCACGAGAGAGAACTTTCGATTAAGGCTAGTCATCGATCATATACGTATAGAATACGTGATATCTGGCATATAGTAGCAGCAATGGACATAGGGATTGGAGAATTTGGAGATTTTGATATTTAAAAATAGAAATTTCCACCATCTTTCACTTAAAGCGGATGGTGGGGGACTGGATGATAGACCCGATCAAGATCCCATGGTTCCGTCGTCCCGGGCCATCGTGGTCCCTGGTCTACTTAGTCAGAGGAGGTAGTCGACCCAACCTGACAGAAGGATCCTTGTCGGCAGCCATGGGTTGCTTCGTCCGAGGGGACCTTGTAGACCTGGGTTAGATGTTTGCCTAAGGGGACAAATTTGAATCCACCTTAGTTGACAGAGGGCTTCATGCCCTGTTGATCATATCCTATTGATTCATATCTCAATGATTTGATGCCACTAAGGAGCATATTGGCTCTGGCCATAACCGCTATCTGTGGTGCCATTTGGCTGCAAAACCGCTCGGTTCAGAGGGCCCCGGGTCATAACCGTTTATCCTGCGGTGCCATTTGGCGGCAAAACCGCCAGTTAGAGGACACGTACCACGTCCTTACTGGCAGGAGACTATTTGAGAATGGATCCTAGTGATATTTTCGACTAGGCATTTGGCTCTTTGTGAGCAGAAGTAGATTTTGATTTGTCCACCCCGGCAAACTGTTGCGGAGGGTGGATGGGTTTTGCTTTAAGTGATTGATGGGTTTATTTCAATTTTAAATATCTGAGATTTTTGAGATTTTGGATTTTTGGACATTTGGTTGGCACTTTGAATTTTGTAGTGGATCCCTCCGGTTAAGATATACATTCAACACGGCCATCATCGGGGTGTTTGAGGTCATTTCTATTTTTGAATTGAACCTTGTCGACTCGACCAAGCTGTTGATCAAGGATCGATATCTTGTAGGCTGTGCCTTTTGTTTAGTGAATTCTTTTGATTGTAGGTCTTGAAGGCCTAATATGAATGTATTAAAACAAATACACTGGTCACCACAACCGTGTATTTGTTTTAGAGTTCGAACCCTGTCGACTTCTATTGATCCGTATAGAAGAATCAGGTTCGAACTTGAATTCACTTATTGACCCACGCAGCATCCTTAGACGTCACGTGTGTACCAATAACACGCTCGCCGAGGCCCATGCGGGTGTTTGGGAATTTCATTGATTTGACATACCCCTTCGTGTACCTATGTGTATACAAGCTATGGTGCACGTGCAGGGATACTTTGAAAGTATTTGTAGACGCCTTCTGTATGCTAGTACGAGTGTTGTGGATCCGGTGGCGGGGCGTTATAGATTGTAGACGCCTTCTGTCTGCTTGTATAAGTGTTGCAGATCCGGTGGCGTTGCGTCTTGATGTTACGAGGCATCTCCTCATCTTGATATTGTCTCCCCTTTTCTCATTCACCGTGGAGGGACTTTCTGGATTTTGAAGTTTGTTGCTTTGTAGATAACTCTTTTTAAGATCATCAGTGTAATGGATCTGTTATTTCCGGTGTTTGCGGGCACCAGAACTATTTTCTTTTTAAGTATAGAACTAAGAAGAGACTTTGGAACACCAGGAAGTTTGGTTCTAATTTGTTCAAACATTTCCTCCCTTCAAAAATAATTATAATCATTTAATTAAAATTAAACATAATTAATACTAATAAATATAATTAATTAAATTAATTATAATTAAAAAATAAAATAATAATAATAATAATAAAACATTTCTCCCTCTCTCTATCGGGTTTGGCGGCATTACGGGATTTGGTCGGAGTAACGTGCAAAGGGGAGAAAGTTAACTTCACAGCGTGAGCTCCCGTTGTTGCTCGGCTCAAAATGTCGCAACTTCAATCCAACAGAAAGAAACGTCGCCGGAGGGGGCAAGGAAGCGCGCGAAAGGATGAAAGTTACCTTTACAGCCGGCGAGCTCCCGGTCTTGCTTCCGATCCCACAAGAAAGGAAGGTCGTGGATGGAGCGAAGTCAATCGGTAGCACAGGAGCCGGAGAGGCGACTCTACAGTGAGCGAGTTTCGCTCTTGCTTCTGATCAAAATGTTGTAACTTCCAATCCGACGAGAAAGGGAACGTCGCTGGAAGGGGCAGAGCACGCGAAAAGGGAGAATGTTACCTTCACAGATGCGAGCTCCGCGTCGCTGCCTCCGATCAAATGTCGTAACTCTCGATCTCTCAGGAAAATCGAGAAAGGAGCGAAGTCGAACCACAGCAAAGAGGCCGAAGAAGCGGCTTCGGTCTCTTCTTTAACGCCGAGAGGGATCGTGTGTGAGGTGACATCGGGTCGTGCGTAGACTGTGCGGAGCACGTCGTCAATGTGACGGGTTCATGGCCGGACGGGTGGGTACGATTTTTTTTTTCTTTTGTTACAAAGAAGGGTCAACATACTATTAAAGTGGATCTGATGAGGACATCTTCAGTGATTTCGACACATATACCACCGGAGATCGACGGCCACGATCAGGAGTTTATATTTTGAGTCATTTTATGTAGTAGTTTATTTTATTTTTCAGATTTATTGTTTTACCCTTATTGATGGTCATTTGATATTGTAGCCCTGAGGGCATTTATGTCTTTTAGTTTTAGTTTCATTTTGGCCTATTTATAGGAGGTCTCATGCATTGTATGATGATGATTATTGATGAATGAAAATTTATTTCTCTTGTTGATCTCTTAGTGAGTTCATGAAATTTTCCAAGATCTCTTTGTGAGTTCTTGAGGAGATAGTATTGTGGATCTCTTTGTGAGTTCTTGCGAAAGTGGTGTTCAAGGTTTGTAGTTTGATAACTTTCTTTTCCCTACCCAATCCCTTCTTCCCCTACTTAGCCGAAAATTCCCCTCCTCCCCAAAATTTCCCACCCCACCCGCTCCACTGTCGGCCTCCCTTGGCCAGTCCAGCCACCGGCGGCTCTCCCAGCTCCCTGCCGCCAGCCGTCGGGTCCAAGCCCCACCCATGGCCACCCTCCTTGCCGTCGGCCCCCTCTTGGCCCTCTTCCTTTTCAAATTTCAATTTCTCCTTTCTTAATTTGCTTTCCTAATTAGGCTTTGTTTGTTTAGGAAAGACATTTAAAGGAGTTACAACCTATTTGAAATTCAAACTACTTCCCCTCTCATCCTAATTCAATTTTGGGAGTTATTTTAAATTCAATCAATTCTGAAACTAAAATTCAGATTTGAATTGAATTAATTAACCCCTTGTGGTCCCCACATGCTTAACTCCAAACCCCTCTCTCTCATCCCCATATGGCTGGCCCCCTCCCCTTTTCTTCTCTCTCCCCAATTACATTAAAGCTCCACCAAATCAGCCCCTAATTATCTCCTTCATTAACACCCCTAGCCATTATTGAATTAATTTGAAATTTCAAATTAATCTCCCTCCAAAACCAATTGAAGCTGAAATTATTTTCAATTTTCTAAATCCTTCCCTCTCCCTCTAGCTCATGGCCAACCCCTCTCTTCCCAAAACTGCCACTTCCACCTCCCCTCCCCCTCCCTCTTCTCTTCTCCATTTATTACGAACATGAATGGCGGATCCGGAATTTGATCACGGATTTGCGTATGACTTTCAAGGAGATATCGACGTCGTTCGTTCGCCATTCTTTGACGTTGGGTTTGGCTTCGACCACATTGTCGAGGATTACTTGAACCGTATTCTTCCCACCCCCGTGGACGTCATCGACGAACAACTTCCAGCCAACGATTGGATCATCAACAGGTGTCCACCATCTTCCCCAAATTCGGCCTCTTCCCCGGTGACTAGTCTTCTCGGCATCACTAGTGTGATAGTGACATCGTTGAGTTTATGCGCCATCCTCTTCCGCTAACTGAGTGAATCCAAGAGTAAAGTGAGGGACTTCAAGGTGAAGGATCTATATCTTAAGCCTTGGATTTTTGTTAAGAGCCATTTGCTTTATTACTTATCCATTGGATTAATTTTGTTGGTTTCATGTCGCTTCTAAGGTAATTGATTGACGTTGCTTAGTTCCTCCATAGAAATTTCTTACGATCTATCTTGGAACGCATTCTTTTAAATTAGCAACGCAAGTTCACAAGTTATTAATTTTCTAACAAGCAATTCTTGTCTATCGCATTTAGTTTCACATCAGGATCCCATAATTATATGTTGATGGCAATAATGGAAACACAAAATCAACTAGTATTTATTGGGACGAAGTAGATATCAATGTTAACATGTGAAATAACTTTAATAACAGAGATAAATCTCACAAGAATGCATGAATAGGAAGTTCAATCAATTTTTTCATCTCAATAGATAATATTAACAAAATATATCATAGTTTCAACAATATACTTTCATATGATCTGTGATTTAAGCTAAAGAATACTCTCAAACACAACTTCAAGGTTAGCAAAGCAAGATGCTTAATTATTTATCATTGATCATAAGAATCAAGTGTAACTGCAAAACCTAATCTTCATAGAGGAAGAGAAAGATATGGGTAGCTATGGTTTACATGCAACTACCTTCAAGATATAGCTCAAGCAAAATGATGTAGAAGAAGATTTGATTTGATGTTAATTTGTTGATGGGCCATGCTAAAGCTCTCTTTCTTAATTTATTTCCTTGCTGAGCAAATACAAGCATTCTTTTAATGATACCATGGTAAAGAAAGAATTCATATGGCTTAAGACACAAATACAATTCATTAATAGGGTTAGGGTTTATATTTGAGTTTTTGCCCTTTATTTTTGGCATTTTAAGGTTTAAGACAAGTGAGGGGAAGTAAAAAAGTAGGGGAGTATTAGACATGATTATTTCAAGAAAGTTAGCTCTAATATAAAAAATGTAGAAAGATTTGATATTCTGTCAATTTGTTGATGAGACCTAGTTAATTATTTCTTTCATAATTTCCTCCTTTTTTGGGCAAGAGAAAATTAAAAATTAGGTGATTTTATTTTGTGTTATGCATGGGAAGAGAGCGATACGTGTGAGAAGAGGGTGAAAGAGAGACTAAAGATTTGTGCATTACCAAAAGGAGGAGGTATTAGTATTCATTTCATTAATAATACTTCAAAGGCAATCACTTGAATCCCTATTAGTCAAAAAAACATATAATTGAAACTAAATAATTCTTGAAAATCCTATTAACTATTTTTAAAGTTAGATTCAGATAAATTACAATGAAAATAAATTAAATTCTCAAAAACTAATGTGAAATACTACAAACTAAAATTATTATAGAAAACAACCTAGTTGCACGTCTACTACCGCATCAACAGTAGTAATTTTATTTCATATTGAAAATTATGGCAAACTATTATCAAATGAAACCACATCATCAACATTGCAGCTATCTTAAGTTAAACTAACTACTTAATAGCAAAAATATGAAGATGTTAACAAACAAAATATCTTACATCAATTATTAAAATTGCTGCTTTGGGGTTCTGATCTTTTGAAGGCATGGCTTTGACAAGAAAATGGCAAATAGGAAAATTTATAAAGGTCAGTCACAATAGTCATTAACTGATCTGGAATAAACAGACAGATATATATATATAAACCACAGAAAACCAAGATTTAACATCCGTAGTTAAACACATTGAAAATATCCAAATAAGCATTTATGAACTTTTAATCCAAATATGCAATGCTTTGATTCTCCTAAAAGTAGGTAAAATCACTGAATGAAGACTGCTAAATTCAAGACGTTTACAAAAGAACAAAAGTAAAACGGGCAAGACTAGGCTGCAATCCAGTTTTCTCAATCTAAGGACTTAAAAGACTATGTATAACTAACCATATGGATAGGACAGGGAAGGAATAGGAGACCTAAAGATAAGTCAAATCCAAAGTTAGTAGAATGCACCTAATTGAATCAATACAGCGAATATAAATAAAGTCAACTACAAAGCATAATCCACAGGCGATGGATTGCTAATGAAAAAAAGACCCAACAAAATGAAAAAATTAAAAGTATAGAGATAAAGAAATAGAACTGGGACAAATAAACAAATAGACAGACATATAGATAGATAAATAGGTACAAGATAAGGTCATCTGATTAAAATGGGCTCCAAGTTCTTGCAAAAAAAAAAAAAAGATTAAAATTCTAATATAGAGACAAGAAATGAGGGACAGATTAGTATACAAAGAAACAAAGACAAAAATATATGTATGGTTAAAGATTGTAAAAGTAAGAACACAATTCATGATCTGGAACATGAACTATCCTACAACCATAAGATACATCACGGCATCAATCAATAGTTCACATGACCAGTAAATATAAGCAACAGACCTGGAAATATAAGCAATTACGTATAATAAACTACTTTGTAACAACAAAGACAAAATGACAAATCAAGCATATCTCAATATGTTGAGGCACCATATGGTTTGAGATTATCATGCAAAATGCATTTTTAGACAATTAAATGAAAGGTCGCAGAATATGAAATATACCGAGTTAAAATTTATAGAAAGTAAAAGTTACAAGATTCCCAACACAAGATGTGACCCCCAATTATTTTAGGTAGCTAACAAATAGGAAAAAGGAAAAAGATAATACATAATCTTGTAATTCAGTATAGATTTTGGCGCAATTGAAGACCGGTTAGCAAGTAACAAGTAATTACTTCTTGATTCTACGGACTTTTTTAGGCCCCCAAACCTCCATTCTGCCTGCGGGGCACCCACAAGGTGAGCGAAAGATAAGCACAGTACGACCATTAGGAGGCGCCATCTTCTTCAGCTCGGCTTCCAGCTCCTTGTGATCCTGCCCTAATTCTAGCGAGCAGGCTGTCTCCTTAAGTGCATGAGGCGAACACTTAACACACTCTTCAGACTCCAGCTGGATATCAAATTCAACTGACTTCCGCAGACCTCTGCAAGCAGGATTCCCACATTTTCTGGATTTAAAATCAATAATCTCCCACGCAGCAATCATTGCAGTAGATGTAACGACTAGACCTACAGCATATGCTACAGGTGTATCATAAATAATTTCCACGACCAGTTCGAAGGTTAAAGGAAGCAGCTCGCAGGCCTCATGAAAGATTAACTTGAAGTAGGGGACTGAGAGAAACCCAAGCGCTCCAAGAACAAGAAGAAGTATGACAATATCGATGGCAGCAAAGGGAGAGTGCTCGCAGAAAGGATGGGATAAAGGGTTCAAGGATTTCCCCCTCTTCCTTTGAAACAGATTGGAGCTGCTCCGTTGCTCCGATGAAGCCATGGCATTTTGAGCAGCCTGGTGCTCAAAAGCCCTGCAGAATTCGATCAAGCTCCGACAATCAACAACCATTGGGATTTGGGAAATCAATCAATGAAGACCAGGGCCTCAATGTCCTCCTTCAAATTAAATCAAAGGCACAAACAAGAAATACCCCTGAATTAATTCAGATCTTTCAACGCTAGTCTCCCAATTTAGATACTTTGATAACTCTAGGAAGAGAGATCAAAAGAGCAAAATCGACCAAATTGTGGAAGATCTAATCATCAGATCCCAATAAGAATCAGAAGCATACACACTCCAACCAAATTCGAATCTAAGTACATCCACCAATCGTAAATCGAAAAATGGAGTTGCTTAGAAAGGCAGAGCTCCGATGATTCAACGGAGCGTTGAAAACAGAGACGATTAGCCACGGGTGAGGGAATGATCACCGCCTACGAAATACATCGGATAGCGAGGATCATGAAACCTAGAGTGTAACGAGGCTCATCGCCCTCGCCGCTGGGCTTCTTAATGGTGAAGAACAAATGGAAGGAAGCTGTAGGCTTCATCGATTTCATCAGTGCCGACGAAGCAAGAAGGACAGATTTCGTCGCGTACTAATGACGTGTATAAAGTAGAAGAAGGCGTCAATGAAGTGAGCTGAAAGGTTCGGTGGCGGTAGATAATAAAAATCATAAAAGAGGCTTAATGTAATTATTATTTTTTAATTATTATCATTTAATCACTTTATATTTTTTGGGGAATCAAATGCCCGCTTCTTTTTATTATAATAAATTAATAATTATTATTATATTTTTTTCTTAAAAATATATTAGCTATTAAATGTAAACATAATGTAATGTAAAAAATGGTGAAATGATATAACTAATTAGATTTAAAATATTTTTATCATTATTTTAATCAATATTATGATAATTTGATTGAACATAGAACAACAAGAATGAGATTTAATAATTCGATATAAATAAATATTATTAATTTAAAAATAAATCTTATTTGTTCTATAAAAAATAACTAAAAATATATAATATATGTGTTGGGTGCTTTAGAACTTCACCTTACTAATTTAGTCTCATATTATTCGAGAACTTTCATTTAGTATTGTTTATATAGCTTTTTAGATTTGTATGTATAAGAAATTTAGGCTTCGTTTGGGACGGGTTTTTTACTGCTTTCTAAAACGGAGTTTTAGTACAAAATTTTTTATTATCATTAAAAATTGCTTTATAAAGCAATAATAAAGTTATACTAAATGAAGCTTAAGGCCATCATAGGTGCATGCAGAAAAACTGTTTCCTCATTGTCTAGATCCAACCCAACGAAGGTAGCTGAAATCGTAAAAAGACCAAAAAACCACAAACCACAATAAGGCCCAATAAATCATTTCTTTTTCTACTTTCATTTACGATTTCTAATAACAGTATCCAACGAACCAGTTTTCAAACCATCATCAAAATTATCCTCTCGTTCATATAGCAAATCATCATGTAACCAATCACATTGCCACCGGACACTATTCCTAACTAGGTGCACTTGTAAATTAGCATTAGAATGACTGAAATAGGCACCTCAACCAGCAAAGCTACACCACCCCTAGGACAATGAACCACACCAATCCCACCTGAGTTAACATCACCACCATCAGTTGAGGAAACTGAGATAGCCTCCGAAGACTCCACTCCACCATTAATTAAAGGAGTAGCTACATAATTCACACCGTAGAGAGGAACAATTAAACTCGCACAGCCAGGGTCCACAAACAAAGGGTCCCCTCACATCAACTTCAAAGGACAAAGAGCCACCCGAGAAATTCACGACAATAAAAATAGGGGCAACAGGGGATGGACAAACCAGGCTGGAAATCGTGCCAACATCAGCATTAACAAAAGCCAAATCACCCATCGAATTACCAGGCAAAGAAACAGGCAAAACCGAATCGAAAAAAAAAAAAATACTTCTCCTCTTCAACAATAGGGTGAGATGGAGTATGGGAGGGAACATTATAAACCAAGCAAGGAATAGGACTCATAACACCCTCAACATTAGAATCCATGCTCACATTATCTAAAATGATATCAGCAGCTTCCTTACACTCACTAGAATCAACACATATAATATTTTCCTTATCTGAACAACAATACCCTCTGCCAAAGCCATAGTAACAACCTCACATCCAATAGTCCCTAAAATCGACGTAACCAGTGGACTCGGATCCTCCCTAGCCTTTTCCTCAATAACTACCAAAGAGGATACACCCAAAGCATGACGCTTAACATTCCCAGCCATAAGAGTATTAGAATTAGAAAGAAGAGCCGAAGCACAGTGACCCCTAAGATGACCCGGATGCTTACAAGACTCGTAGAAATCAGGAAAAACCTCGAAATGGACCTTTTGGATATACCCAGAAACCTCTGGCCCAAGCCAAATTTGAGATGGATAAGTTTTAGTTATGTCCAGCTCTACCAAAACACGCATAAGGGATGGCCTAGATCCTATCGAAGTGGCAAAATCAACCTTCAAGGGTCTACCGAACATAGAACCTAAGGCATGGAGGATACGGGGAGAGTAAAGATGAGGTCTCATATTAGGAAAGGAAACCCAAATTGGTATGATCGGAGATTCACAAGCGATGTCCAGGAGTGGTGACCATTTAGTGAGCTTCATGAAACAGTTATTCACTAGATAAGAGTGATGGCAGAACACGCGGCTATCATCTAGGTCATTAGAAAGTTTAACCAGAATATGTGTATGTCAAGCACCATAACAGAGAATTCAGAATTTAGTTTCAGAGCGAAAAAAATTGTGAATAGCGTCCAGAGACGGACGACGAGTGGAAAAAAAAACCAATGTGAATTGAAAAGGCACAACAACGAGGGTAAACCACGAAAAGATCCTTGATGGAGCTCAGGGAAACAATACGACGAGGAGGAACCAGAAAGGGCATCTGCAAACAACTTGTCATATGACCTGCAATAATTGGAAAAAAATTCTTAGAAAAAAATTAACATTCTTAGAAAAAAATTCAACAAAAGTTTATTCTTTTCCAAGTAATGTCATTATTTTTCTTATCAATGCACATTTAAAACTCATTAATTTGTTTTGATACCTTATCATTTCACATATTAAGTTTATGTCATAACTAAAAAACCGAACACTTTAATTAATTAACTATATATATATATATATATATATAATCTACTTATTAAGAACAAACGATTTCTCATTTTAACAAAGAGTAAAATGATCCAGAACAAAGTCATCCAAGAAAAATACATCATAGTAGATCATGATCCACTCCTAGAATTTGATGAGCTTTAGAAATAAAATCTTTGAAAATACTTTTTTAAGGATTATCCTTCATTTTAGCGGATTCCTGAAGATGTGAAGAATCCTTAATAATTTTGCAGTTGAAAATAAACTATTTAACAAAAAGTCCACAAGATGAATGAAATTGTGGATTTTATTTATTGAGAGAGAATAAAACCAAGTACTAGCTTGATCATTGAGAGTATAAGGAAAAACTCGACAAAAAGTGTATCAGAGGTTCACTGTAAACATGATGGTCATATAATGATCAATATGCTCGTAGGGATAAGATGACCCATCATGGGGATCAATAGTGGGTAATTTGAATCTTACCAGAATAGGATGCTAAAGAATTTGATTTGTTAGGGGAGATGAATGTTGGGAGTTGTGTCAAGGATTACTTATTTCTATACCTTATTAGGAATTCTTCTTGGCTAAGACAATGTAGTTCATCTTGTATAACATTATGAGGAGTATTTATAAGTTGAGGTTTAGTCAAATCCAACATAATAGATGGAGAATTTTGCATTCAGTGAGCTCTGTGAGGAGGATGGGTTGAGCCTGCAACATCATCAACTTTTGGAATTTGGATTAGATTGTGGGGGAGGTTGAGCATCAGTGCGATGATGAGGGTGTTCTTTATGAGCAACTTGAAATTGTCCACCCATATTGTGTTGATGATATTGTGGGGAGAGAACCCTATGATTTTGTGAAAACATGCTTTGTTGATCGACCTCTTTCAATAGGTGTAAAATTCGTACTTACCGCTCTTTCATCCAATAAATTTGAGTTTCTAAGGTTAGAGATCGAGACTTCCCCCTTACATGACTACGACATCCATGATTGTCAGATAGATTCCTAATTTGGTGAGTGTAAAAACAATAAAATCTATTATTAGTTTTATTTTGATCAGCTTTTGAAGAGTATGTTGAGAATGAAGTTTCCCACAAATGACGTCAAAATGATATATCTACAAATAACTATTACATGCCAAAAATTTTGAGTTGATGGAGTGTGTATTTCATGTTCCAATTTATAAAAAAATTTAATATGCACAAATAAAAATAACATTAAAAAATTTATGTGAAAAACCCAGAAAGGGAAAAAATCACGGGACTTGGCCCAGTTGAAAACTCCAATATGTAGTAAGTGATAAAAGAATCATTTTTTCTTCACTGTTGAAAAAGAGGAAGGTTAAATATACATCTAATTTTCATGAGGAATGTAATGGAAATCAAGTGCCTATAAAGGGATGGCTAACACCTAACAACAGGGCATGATTTCTCCAATAGAAAACATAAAAAAGTAGGTGTCCACATAAAAACAGTTATATATAACAACATGGTTAAATTCAATATTCATGAGATCATGGCAATTTCTGATGCTGATCTTTAGAGGCGAAGATGATTGTTGAAGGCAACAATTGGGGGTTATCATCGGCGGTGATGGGTATAAAATGCAAGAGAGCACTATATACTTCTATGTATTCTTCTTCTCCCTTTATGTGAAGAATAAAGCTCTATTTAAGCTTTTGTGGATGAATATTTTGATAATTTGAACCGAAATTCATAATATTTCATCATATGGCCCATATTGATTTCCTTGATCATAAAGCATTTATTCATCATCTAAGGGCCTTAATGATGTCAGAATTGAGTGATCTTGGGCTCGTTCGATTTTTCTCGAAGCGTCTCAAAATTCGACTATGAGCATGTTTAATTCAAAGATAATTTGGTCATCTAATTAATGTTTGAAGTTTTCAATTATGCTTAATGTGTTTGATTTGTTATCCTTTAGGCTCATATTGGATATTTTTTTAGTTTCAATATTGGGTTCGTTTCATTGAGACATATAGATCGACTATATATTTGTTGATATTAGAATTCATATGGTCCTGAATTTAATTCCAATAGCTTCAAATTCAAAATCTATCTTGAAATTTGTGCTAATCATGTAGATTTTTGTAGATATATCAGTTGTTATTATTTTAATTTTTATTAATGAAGATTTTTTATTGTGACATTTGAGTCATTAAGGCAAACTCACACGCACATCATATATGCAAGCTTCGAATCTAATACCTCTTGATTAGTAGCTAAAGTCCCCAATCAATAGATCAAAATAAATGTGTTTATTAAAGTAGATAGAATATATATGATTCTTAAGAAATTGATGACTCATTTGGTTAAAAGAAAATATGAGAGATATGACTCAATGAACTGATCCATACTCTATAATTATATATTAATATATGTTATATATATTCTTGAATTAAAAATAGTT